TTATCCATTGGTTGAGGCAAGGTCTTATTTGGTCACCCAGACTGGCCTCTGAACTTGTGATCCTCCTCCCTCCCCCTCCTCCTCCTCCTCCTCCTCCTCTCCTCCTCCTCCTTCCCCCCCTCCTCTCTGCCCCCTTCCCCCTCCCCTTTATAGGTACATGCCACACTTGACCAACTAGTTAGGTTTTTAAATATGTGTTTAGAAATTAATGTAACCTTTAGTTAAGATTGGTAATTTAAAGCCAGCACTCTAGCTCAGTGAGTGGGTAAGGTGCTTGCCACCAAATCTGACCTAAGTTCAATTCCCAGGACCCACATGATGGAAGGAGAGAACCAGTTTCCTAAAGTTGTCCACTCACTTCCGCATGCTCACTGTAGCTTGTGCCATGACCCCAAATAAATACATAAATGTTTAAAAAAAATACACACACACACACACACACACACACACATTTTAAAGCTGGGTGTGGTGGTTCACACCTCTAGTCCTGGCACTCTGAAGGTTGAGGCAAGAGGATTACCATGAATTCGAGGCCAGCCAGGGCTAGATAGTGAATCTCATGCTAGGCTGGGCTGCAAACAAGACCATGTCTCAAAATCAAGCAAGAAATTTGGAGCCGGGCCTGGTGGCCAGCCTGGAGTTCTAGGCCAGCTGGAGCTACAAGGAGACCTTGTCTCAAAAAGATTAAAAAAAAAAAAAGAAAGAAAGAAAGGAAGGAAGGAAGGAAAGAAAGAAAAAGAAAGAAAGAAAGAAAGAAAGAAAGAAAGAAAAAGAAAAGAAAATTCCTCTCCCCAAACAATTTGTGCTGGGATTAAATGCGTGTACCACTATGTCTAGCGAGTAATAACATTTTTTAATTGCTGTAAAACAATACAAAAGGAAATTTTAAATATTTCAGTAGTTTTATAACCACAGGATTTTGAAAAAAGAAAATGTAAGAATACCTTCTGTGGAGTTGTGGATTTTTAGTGTTTAAAACTTCCCCTTTTTGTTGTTTTTCAAATTTATAAATGCATGCTTACAGTTGTAGTTAAAAAAGAGGATTAACTTCAAAAATATTTTCTGTTCAGTTAAATACAACCTTTAGGACTGAGCAGAGTGGTTTTTTAGAGTTGGCCCCAGAACTTTTTTAACACCAGCCAGTATTGGGCAGTTGTTTCCAGTGCTGCTTGTCTTGCTCTGTAGCTTAGGCTGGCCCGGAACTTGGTATGTAGATCAGGCTAGCCATAAGCTTGCAGGGTTCCTCCTGCCACTGCCTCCTGAATACTAGGATTGTGTGGCTTCTTGATGTACTTCTCCACCTCTGAATGGGCAGCATGATCAATGAAGATTAGAACTTTAGGTCATTTGGACAAAGGAATGAATCCTTCATGTTATTTAGTTTCATGGTAGTTTTCTTATGAGAACAGGTTGTATGTAGTCCTTTATTTTTTTAACATTTTAATAGTTTTAAAAAATATTTTATTTATACCAGGTGTGGTGGCTCAAGCCTTTAATACCAGAAACAGAGGCAGGTGGATCCCTGTGAGTTTGAGGTCAGCCTGGTCTACACAGTGAGTTCCAGGGCAGCTGGGGCTACAAGGAGACCCTGTCTCAAAAAGACCAAAACTTTTTTAAAATTTATTTTATGTGTATGAGTGTACTGCCTACATGTGTGTAAGTGCACCCATAAGTGCAGTGCTGGCAGAGGTCAGAAGAGAGTGCTGGGTTCCTTGAAACTGGAGTTAACGGACGATTGTTAGTTGCCATGTGAGTGCTGGGATTTGAGCCCAGGTCCTCTGCAAGAGCAACCGGTGCTCTTAACTGCTGAGCCATCTCTCCAACCCACCACCTCTTTTTTAAAGACCGGTCCTCACATACCCCAGGTTAGCTTCAAACTTTACTGTGTAATCGAGGATGACTTTGAATTTCTGATTCTCATACTTCTACCTCCCAAATGCTGGAATTAAAGGCTTGTACTACCACACCTAATTTATCTTGTGTATTTTTACTTTATCAGTTATATGAGTTCTTGAGAGTTAACTGTTTGACCTAGATTTTGGCATCTATATGATATTTTTGTTGCTCAAGTCTTTACTATTTTTATGTTCTCAGGCAACAGCTGAACAGATGCGTCTAGCTCAAGTAATCTTTGATAAGAATGATTCAGATTTTGAAGCTAAAGTTAAGCAGGTATGTTTCTGGCAAAGGATACAATGATTTTTGTACTTATATTTATTGTGCCTAAAAAGACAATTTTACTAGAGATTTTTACTTTGGAACTGTGTGTATGGTTTAGATACATATCTGTATGTTGAATTTTGGCTTCTGTTCAAATACATTGGAGACAGATAAAGAAATCAAGTATGTTTATCCTCTTGACAGTAAAGCCTTTCTGAGTTATTAGTGTGTATTTGTATGGGCTAGACATTTGTTAAAGCCCACTGACATTTTGTATACCTATGTTTTGAAATTATAGCCTGGTATGTTTTGAGGAAAATTTTTTTAATGCTTAGAAGAAAATGCATTCATTACATTTTTTTCTTTGAAATGTTTTTTATTTTGTTTTTATAATAGGCATGTGTGTTTTGCCTGCATGTATATTAATGCACCAGGTGTGTGCAGTGCCCTCAGAGGTCAGAAGAGGGCGTTGGATCCCCGGAACTGGAGTTACAGATGGTTGTTAGTTGCCATGTGGGTGCTGGGAATCGAACCCAAACTGTAAGAGCAGCCAGTGCTCTTAACTGCTGAGCCAGTTCTTTGGCCTCATCATTTCAAATGTCATTTAACAAAGTGTCAATATTAGGATGGTGTCTTCATTTTATATTTCAATAGAAAATTTTTAAAATCTCAATTTCAAACCCTTCCTGCTGCTTTTTTTTCATCCTTCAACCAAGAGTCTAGAAACCAAACAATACCCTTCTGCCCCAAAGTCAAATATTCCAACCCTTAGTTGTCTTCTAGTAATTGTTCTTTAGAGCAAATGCCCCATAGTGTGGTCCTTTACCATGTAGATTCCTTGTTTTTTTTGTTTTTGTTTTTTTGAGACAGGGTCTTCCTGTAGCCCCAGCTGGCCTGGAAATTACTAGGTAGACTAGGCTGGCCTGGAACTCACAGGGATCTACCTGCCTCTGCCTCCTGAGGGCTGGGACTAAAGGTATGGGCTACCATGCCCAGCTCTTCTTGTTCTTTTTTTTTTTTAATTAAAAATTTTATGTATATGAGTGTATTGCCTGCATGTATATAAGTGCACCCGTGTTGTTCAATGGCCGTGAAGGTCAGAAGAGGGCATTGAATCCCTTGGAACTAGAGTTACAGACAGTCGTTAGTTCCCATGTGGGTACTAGGAACTGAACCCTGGTCCTCTGCAAGAGCAGTCCGTGTTCTTAAGTGCCGAGCCATCTCTCCAGCCCTCAAGAGTCCTTGTTCTTACAGTTGCTCACACAGACTGGTCATAGTGCTTTGAAGGTCTCAAAAGTGATTTATTGAAACCTGTCGAATTTATTTGGTTGTGGTAGCAAATGCCTGTGTAGTCCTAGCTGCTTGAGAGGACGAGGCCAAAAGATGGTTTGAGACCAACCTGGGGTACATAGCAATACCTGGTCTTTTTCCCTTCCAAAATAAAAAAGTAAAAAGCTACAGCACTGATTCTTTATTTTTTGGAATGATACCTATAGCTTGAGAAATATTTCTGCATATTATATTGCCGGGTATCTAAATAAATAACAGTAGTAAAATAGAACACTAGTTAGAAGTTCAGTGAGTGAAGTTCTAATTTCAGTTTTATTTCTTACTCATTAAGTTAATGGGTATAGTTTGATTCTAATTGTGCATTTTAATAATACATGTGATAGATAGTATAGATAATTGATAAAAATATGCTGCCGAGCTTAACACTTGGTAAATTTAGTGGTTCAGGCCCATAATACCAGATGCTTGGAAGTGGACATCAGAAGATTGGAAATTTAAGGCCAGGGGCTGGAGAGATGGATTAGTGGTTAAGAGAACTGACTGCTCTTGGAGAGGACCCAGCTTCAGTTTCCAACACCTTTTCTAGGCAAGCAGTCTACTAGTGAACTATGGCTGCAACCCTTGAGACTTGTGTTCTAGGCAGGTTTTTCTATTAATTAGCCTTTGGACCATAGGCATAAGGGTCAAGCTTTTGACCATGAATACATACTAAAATATTTAAATGCCATTAAAACACAATAAATACTTATGTCATAGGTTTGCTCTCACTGGTAGTTTAGAAACTTAGGTCTAATCTGTGATTCTATTGAAGAAAATGTTAAGTAGTTCATTTTACTCATTAATAGAATGAGCTGAGATTTACCTGTTAACGCTTTTGGAGACAGTGTCTAGAAGAGTAGCCTGTGACAGATGTAGCATTTGTATGTTGGATGTTCTAATGCAAATAATGAATGGTAGTTCTATGCTTATGAAGTCCAAGTTAATACTTTAGGAGTTAAAAACTCTGCAAGTCCTATGCTATTGAAATAAGTTTGAACAGACAAAATACCTGATATCTAGGGTGTTCTGGTATATGCATATATCGTTCTGATTAATAATCTGTTATTTGTAAACTTGTACCAATATTAGTGAAAGCACCGTAAGAAAAGTAAACCTGCTTTTAGACCATAAGCTTACTGGTGTCTGGAAAAGGTCATCTTCATGTGAAAGGATAGCATAATTTCTGTATTTAAATATAAGACTCTCAAAATTCGTATTGAATACTATGATTTGACTCCCTTTAACTATTTTCTGATACTTTGAATAGCTTATGGAAGTGACGGGAAAAAATCAGGATGAATGTATAGTGGCTCTACATGACTGTAATGGCGATGTGAACAAAGCTATCAATATACTGCTGGAAGGAAATTCTGACACGGTAAATATGATTGATTCAAAGTGCTAAGATTTCTCTCCAGTTTTATACTGCATTTTCAACTTGGCCTGAAACGGGGCGAAGGGGGTTGGGGCCTTACATTCTATATTTTGTAGGAGACTTGTTGGGAAACAAATCCAGAGTCATGTACATTCTAGATAAGTGCTGTATTAAAGTTCCATCAAGAACAGTAACCTTGGTGATCTGTTTCAGCCTAACAGTTTCCAAAAGCGTCTGTTAACATTTTTACCACCTGGAAAACTGCCTCCAAACTGCTCTTGTTTTTCTCATTTTAGTCATCATCTCTAACCTTCTCCCTCCCAACATCCCTCCTACCTGCCCACCGCCTTGGCTCCCCTGACTGAGCTACATCCCCCCACCCCTTTTGTATCTTTAACAGAAAACCAGGATTTGCTGGTGTATTTGCTTATAGATGAATATTCTATAAACACATCCTCATGATACTCACGCATACACATACAACACATCAACATAGAAAGTAAGTTCTGGGCCTCTTTCCAGTGCCGGTGCTTAAAGCCAGCACTTCATCCCTTGATCTCTGAAAATTGTGCTGTTTTCTATTTATAAATTGAGGGAACTTCTTTTCATTTTTATTTTAAAAAATATTATTTTTACGCATGTATTGCCTGAGTATATCTTAAGTGCACACATGTCATGCAATTCCTGCTTTGTTTTATGGCATTCTGTGGGGGTGTGGTTTCTTTCGTACCTGATGGGTCGCACCTGTAGCTTCTGTGACTAACAGCTGTAATGACTCTTCTCATGGCTAGGGTACTATTGATTGCAGTGGGTTAACAGTGTAAACACTGTAGGATAGCTAACAAGAGTGCTTCATAAGCCATGGAGGCAAACAAATTATATTCTGTTGACTAACTTTATTCTGTGCCAGGGTCTTCTGAAACAAAATTGTCACTTTGAAAAGGCGTTAACTAGAATATCCATGATTTTTTTAAATTAAAAACTAAGTTAAATGATAGCACACACCTATAATCCGCAGGGGGAATCTCTGAGTTCAAGGCCAGCCTGGGGCTACAGGAAGACTGTCTCAAAAATACCAAAAAAAATTATTTTGGCTTTATTTTTCCTTTATGTGTATGAGTATTTTGCCTACGTGTATGAAAGTACACCTGTGCAATGCCCGCACAGGCCAGAAGAGGGTGTCAGCCCCTGGAACTGGAGTTAAAGATGGTGGTTAAGCATTAGACAAATTGTCTCCTTAAAGATTCCTTTCCCTGGGCTGGAGAGATGTCTCAGTGCTTAAGAGGGCATCAGATCTCCTGGAACTGGAGTTATGAATGGTTGTTAGGTGTCATGTGGGTGCTGGGACTAAAGGCCTGTGCCACCACTTCCAGCTCAACTAGCTTTCTTAACAGCCCAGGACCACCTGTCTAGGGATGATACTGCCTCTATAGTGTCCTGGTTCCTCCTACGTCAGTTAGCAATTGTGACAGTGCCCCAGAGACATGGCTACAGGCCAATTCTTCAGTTGAGATTTTCTCTTCCTAGGTGACTCCTGGTTGTATCAAGTTGTAATAATAACTAACTAGGCCATCTACCATTAAAGGTTTTTTTTTTTTAAGATTTTTTTTTTTTTTTTTTTTTTTTTTTTTTTTTTTTTTTTTTTTTTTTTTTAAAGATTTTTATGTGAATGTGTGTATTGCCTGCATGTAGGTAAGTGCACCCCTCTCGTGAAATGCCCCCAGAGGACAGAAGAGGCTGTCAGATCCCCTGTAACTGGAGTGGACAGTTGTTAACTGCCATGTGGGTACTGGAATTCGAACCCGGGTCTTTTGCAAGAACAACTAGTGTTCTTAACCACTGAGCCATCTTTCCTGCCCCCTAAAATTAATTTTTTAAAATATTTATTTTGCTTGTGTGTATGTGTGTGTGTCTGTCTGTCTCTCTGTATGAGTGTATGCACACATGTGCCAGTATCCACAGAGGCCAGAAGAATATGTCAAATCCCTTCAAGGTGGGTGTTGGAGGTTTTTGTAAGTCATCTCATGTGGGTGTTGGGATTCTAACTCTGGCCCTCATGATTGAGCAGCAAGTCCTCTCTCCAGCCCTGTTAGAAGTTCTTAGACGATCCCTTTGAATAATTGGCTAGATAGAAATCGCATTCCTGAGATTTCACCATTCTAAATGATTTTGTATGCTTTGAATTGATATCCATTGAGTAGGATTAAGACCTGCTACTGAGGTGGGTTTAGGATGTGAAGAGGAGGCGCTTAGGAATACTTGTTACCTTTATTCCTAAATCTGCATAGGAAAGGACTTACTGGTAGGAAAACACAGAGTAAGTTGTTGGACCATCTAATACCTGTAATTGTTTATGTACTGTATAGTAACAGGAGTTGAGCAAGACATTTGGTGTCTATTCAGGAAGTTGAAGTAAATGGGAAAGGATTAAAATGTGGATACTTAGGTTTGAAAGATGCACCCCTTCCCAATGATTATGTTTTTGATTGACAACTCTGAACAGGAGTTCTTCTCTTTGATAGACTTCCTGGGAGACTGTAGGGGGAAAGAAAAAGAATTTTGGAAAAGAAAGCTCAGAAAACAAAGAGAATAGAGAGAAGAGAAGCGAGAGAGAGGCAGTTCGTGGACGTGGAAACAACCACCGCAAAGGAAGAGGTGGCAGTAGAGGCAGAGAGTGTAAGTAAAGATTTTTCTCTGTTGGGATTTTTTTTTTTTTTTTTTTAATGTTCTGGAAAGCTAAAAGAATAGCCCAGAGAATATACATGAATCCATTTTATCAATGAAAATTTGTCTAAAAGCTAACACTGGTAATGTGTCACAACTGAGTAGTATATTAGTAAGCCCTGTGGTACAGTTCCAGTGTTGACCTGCGTTGAATCTAGTTAATTGTATGCTTCCCTTAAGACATTAGTGAAGGTGGGCAGGGAGCTTGTGGGCAGCGATTCACTGATATATCAAGCTAATTCCCCCCCCCGAAGTTGGATAGGTGGATAGGACATTTTAAGTACATTCCTTTTGGTCCATGTTTTGACACCCTTTACTTGGAACAGCCCTAGAGACTGTTTATAGTTCATTTATTCCACTGATAGTGGTTATGTACTTACTGTATAATACTTTTATAGGTCTATGGTAATGGGGAAAATTCTTAATTTTTTTGAGACCAAGTTTTCCTGTTGCCTCATTCACTGTCATTGCTAGGTTAATAGGCTACCCAGTAGCCATGTTTGGTTGAAGTTTCATTTTCTTTTTACAGGGTCTCACTGTGTAGCTATGGCTGGCCTCCATCTCACAGAGATCTATCTGCCTCTGCCTCTGTAGTGCTGTGTGTGATTAAAGGCGTGCACCACCAGTACCAGCAAAGAAAACACTTAGAAAGTTTAATATTGCGGTGCATAGTGAGAGCTTCTGTTGGAAGAATAGAGTTCATAGCCAGCATAAGCTACATAGTAAAATCCTGCCTCAAAAGGTGAAAAAGTACTTTTTTTTGGCCCTCATAAAATTAGTCTTCTTTTTTTTAAAAAATATTTTATTTATTTATTTTTATTTTATGAGTGTATTACCTGCATGTATGTGAGTGCATCTGTGTCGTGCAATGCCGTGGAGGTCAGAAGAGGGCTTTGGATTCCCCTGGAACTGGAGTTAAGGACGGTTTGTAGCCACCATGTAGGTGCTAGGAATGGAACCCAGGTCCCTCTGCAAGAGCAGTCAGTGCTCTTAACTGCTGAGCCAACTCTCCAGTCCCCCATAATTTAAAAAAATATTTTTTACGTATATGAGTGTATTGCCTGCATGTGTAAGTACACCCTTGTACAATTCCTGAGGAGGTCAGAAGGTGTCAGATTCCTGAATTGGATGGTGGTGAGCCACCATGTGGATGTTGGAAACTGAACCTAGATCCTCTGCAAGTAATCAGTGCTCTTAACCATTGAGCCATTTCTGTAGCACCACCAAGGTTTTAATTTAAATTTTTCTTGCCTTTTTTTTTTTTTTTTTTTGCACTTTTTGAACATGGGCCACCATGCCTGGCTTAATTAAAATTTTTAAATATTTATTTTAGGGCAGGAGAGATAGCCACTATGTGGGTGCTGGGAACTGAACCTGCTTTCTCTGCAAGAGCAGCCAGTCCTCTTAACTACTGATCCATCTCTCCAGCCCCTAAAATCCATTTATTTATTTATTTTTTACTTTGATGTATGAATCTTTTGCCTGCGTATATGTAAGTGCACCTTTGTATGCAGTGTCAACAGAGTCCAGAAGAGGGTGTTGCATCCCCTGAAACTGGAGTTATTGATAGTTGTTAGCTGCCATGTGGGTGCTGGGAACCCAACCTGTCCCTCTGCAAGAGCAGCTGGTGTCTTAACCACTGAGCCATTTCTCCAGCCCCTGAAATTTATTTTAATTTTAATATTATTTTTATTTTATGTATATGAGTATATTGCCTGCATGTAGGTAAATGCACCCATGTCATGCAGTACCCATAGGGGTCAGAAGAAGGGGTTGATTCCCCTGGAACAGGAGTTATGGATGGTTGTTAGCTGCCATGTGGGTACTGGGAATTGAACCTGGGTCTTCTGTAAGACCAGTCAGTGCTTTTAACCTCTGAGCAATCTCTCCAGCCCTTAATTTTATTTAATACTTTTTTGAGAGCAAAAATGATTTATTTTTTTATTTAAAGAATCCAATAGTATAGATAAATTTTTTATTTTAAAGACTGTGACCTGACCTTTTAGGTCATCCTGAATATTCTCTGCCTCCCGAGTGCTGGGATTAAAGGTGTGTACCACCATACCCGGCTAATTTAAATTTTATTTTTTGAGACAGAAGCTCCCTGTAGCCCCTAGCTGGCCTGGATCTCACAGAAATTTGATTGCCTCTGTCTTCTAAGTACTAGGATTAAAGGTATGAGCCACCACCAAGCCCAACTGTGGAAAATTGAAAAACTGTTTTCTTTTCTCTCTCCCCATCCCTCCCTCTCTCCCTCTTTTTCTCTGTGTGTGTGAGAGCGTGTGAATGTATGTAATGTGTTTGCCTGTCTTTTGAGACAAGGTCTTGATATGTAGCCCCAACTGGAACAGACTGGCCTTGAACTTGTGGGATTGTAGGCAGGTACAGCCATGCTTGGCTGTTTTTAAAGTCTTTTGTTCATTTTGTACTTGTGTTTGTTTAGTAAGTATCTGGTAGTGTTTGGTACGAAGGCTTGGAAATGAAAAATAGACATTTCTGCTTTTTTCCTCTTTAGTTAAAGGTGAAGAGAATGGAATTGATTGTAACCAAGGAGACAAGCCTTCAGACCGAGGCAAGCGAGCCCGTGGTAGAGGTAAGGCAGGAGCCAGAATGAGATGCTTGCTATCAGAGAAAAGGCACATAGTTGCTATACTAGGTGATCAGTGTATTCTGAAAGAATTTTGGTCCTCTAAAATGCTAGACTATAGCTCCAGATGTCTTCAGTAGAAGCATTTAAACTATGCCAGTTTTATTTTTCTACATTATGTTTATATGTTTTCCTTGTTTTTGGTTCTGGCGATTGAACTTGTATGTGATAACCAAATACTTCACCATGGAGCTACACACCAGATCATAGATGGTGTAATTTTGACAAAACCATTTTTATAGTTGGTTGTGGTGGTGTATACCTGTAATTTTAGCATTGGAAGCGTTGGAGGGAGGAGGATGGAGAGTTCTAAGGACAGCCTGGGATGTGAAGTGAGACTATGTCTTAACAGAAAAAAACTTCTTTATGAATAGTTTTCTATTTTATAGTTTTATGGGGGGTTTTGAAAGGCTATTTTTTATTTTTAATTATGTGTTCTCTGGGAGTATGTGCTCATAGTGCCTGTGGAAGCCAGGGATGTTGGATTTCCCTGGAGCTACTAGCAGTTGTGAGCTGCCTGACATGGGTGCTGGACATTACACTCAGGTCCTCTGGTTCTGCAAGAACAGTACATGCTCCTGACTGCTGAGCAATCCCTCTAGCCCATTTTGTGGTTTTTTTAAAGATAGGATCTCATTATAGTCCCAGTTGCCCTGAACCTCACTATATAGCCCAAGCACTAGGATTATAGGTGTGAGCCATTACTATACCTGACTTTTTTCTGAATAATATAAAATGAAATTTTGACCAGAGTCATATTGGACTTGATAATTTGCATTTCTGAGGATCAAACCCAGTGTTTGTACATTGAGGCAAATGCTCTACCATTGAGATACATCCCTTTGCTGTCATTTAACTTGATAAGATGTGTCTTACATATTTGGTGTTTAAACTATTTTGTGTGGGGGTGTTGTTTTTGAGGTAATATTTATTACTTTTATTTTATGTGTATACGTGTATTGCCTGCATGTATGGAAGTATACCAGTGTTGTGCAGTGCCTGTGGAGGTCAGAAGAAGGTGTCAGATCCCCTAGAACGGGAGTTACAGACAGTTGTTAGCTGCCATGTGGGTGCTGGTATCTGAACCTGGGTCTTCTGTAAGAACATTCAATGTTCTTAACCACTGAGCCATCTCTCCAGCTCCTTGTTTTTTGTTTTTATTTTATGTGTGTCTAAGTGTCTTCCCTGCGTGCATGTAAGTGCAGCCATACCTATAATGCTCATGGAAGCCAGAAGAGGGCGCCAGATCCCATGGAACTGCAGTTATGGATGCTTGTTAGCCGCCCTGTGGGTACTAGGAACTGAACCTGGGTCCTCTGAAAGAGCAGCTAGCCCTCTTAACTGCTGAGCCATCTCTTTAGTCCCATTTAAACTTTTTAATTAAGAAATAATTTCATAGCATTTGTATAATACAATGATAATTTTATATGGACATGTATTTGACTAAATCAAACTAACCAATACATCTATGCCTCTTAACATTTTTATAGTGATATATTTTTTTACTTTTCTTTTTTTTCAAGTGTATAGCATATTATTGACTAAAGTCACTTTTTGTGCATTAGATCTCAAACTTACTCTTTTTGTGTCCCTGAAACTCAGCAACTCCCTCCATCCAATCTCTGGTAGCCATTATTTTACCCTCTATGCCTCTGAAGTCAGTCAGTCTCCCTCTCTCTTCCCTCCCTCCTTTCCTTCCTTCCTTTCTCTTTTTTTTTTGTTGGGGGGAGTTATTGTTAAGTGATTAAACAAAAAACCTCAAATACACTAAATGAAAGTTCTCTCACTGAACTATGATCTACCTACTGCTTTGCTACACACAAAGCAAACTTTTTAAAAGATTTGATATAGGAAGAGATGGCTCAGTAGTTAAGAGCACTGACTGCTCTTATAGAGTACCTGGGTTCGAGTCCCAGCACCCACATGGCAGTACTAACCGTCCTTAACTCCCATTCCAGGGGACTCTGATGCCCTCTTCTGACCTCCGACGTGGGTGTACTCACATACATGCAGGTGATACACTCATACACATAAAATAAAAATAATTAATAAATCACACAAAAAAAGATTTAGTATATTAATGAGATTAACAGTTATTTACCTTTCTTTGCCTGAATTGTTTTCAGTCAACATTCTGCCTTCTAGATTTGTCCATGTTGCTCTATATAATCAAAATGTTGTTTTTATTTTGTTTTGTTTTTGGTCTTTTTTGACACAGGTTCTCTCTGTAGCCCCAGCTGTCCTGGAGTCACTGTGTAGACCAGGCTGGCCTTGAACTCGCAGAGATCCGCCTGCTTCTGCCTCCTGAGTGCTGGCATTAAAGTAAAGGCATGTGCCACCACGCCTGGCTACAGTTTATTTTTTGTGGGTTTTTTTTCTTTTTCTTTTCTTTTCTTTTTTTTTTGAGACAATGTCTCCCTCTAGCCCCAGCTGACCTAGAACTCAGGCTGGCCTCAATCTCACAGAGATACGCCTATCCCCATGTCCTAAGTGCTGAGATTAAAGGCATGTACCACCATGCCTGGCTTTATCTTTTAGTTTTTATGTGTCTTGAGTGTTTTGCCTGTATGTATGTAAGTGCACCATGTGTGTAATGTCTTTGTAGTCCAGATTAGGACTTTGGATCTCTAGGAGCTGGATTTAGGGATAGGTGTTAGCTGTCATGTTGGTGCTGGGAATGAACCTATGTCCTCTGGATGAGCAGTAAGTACTTTTTATCTGCTGAGTTATCTATTTTATTTCAGGCCCCTTTATTCTGTTTTACATAATGACTATACTAATTTGTATTCTCAACAGTGTATGAAGATGTCCCTTTCTCCATATCTATAACATTATTTATCTTTCAGTTTTATTTAATTAGTCATTTATTGAGATAATCTTGCCATATTAATCAGGCTGGGTTTAGGGGGCTAGAGAGAGGTCTCAGTGGCTAAGAGCACTGGTTATTCTTGCAGAAGCTACACGTTGAATCCCAGCACCCGTATGACAGCTAACAACCGACAATAACTCCAGTTCCAGAGGATCTGAAGGCCTCTTCTGTCCTTTGTAGGCATTACATGACCCAGGTGCATGTACACACATGCAGACATAGTACTCATACACATAAAATAAAAATTACAAAAAAAAAAAAAAAAAAAATCAGGCTGGCTTTAAACTCAGTATATAGCCCAGGCTGGCCTCAAACTCATTGTAGACCTGCCTCAAGTGTTAGGATTACAAGGGAAAGGCACTACACCTTGCTATCTTAGTATTTTATTTTATCTTAAATCTGTGTAGTATCTGTTTGTTGTGTTTTTGTGTATGGGATAGGGGCATCTCATGTGGAAGTCAGAGAACAACTTGCAGGAATTGGTTCTCTCCCTCCATCATATGGATTTCAGGAATTGAGTTCAGGTCATCAGGCTGGGGAGATCTACTTGCTACCACTGCCTCCCAAGTGCTAGGATTAAATGCATGTGCCACCTTGCTCAACCAGTTTATTGCTGTTTTTTAAAGATTTATTTTTTTTATTTTTTAACTATATGTATGATTGATTGTTAGGGGATTAGGTGCGTGTTTGTACAGGTGCCCAAGTAGGCCTGAAGAGAGGGTATGGGATCTCCTGGAGCTGAAGTTACAGGTAGTTGTGAGCTGCCTGACAAGGGTACTTGGGTCCTCTGGAGAGCAGTACTTGCTCTTAACTGTTGAGCTCTCTCTTCAGCCCCATTTGTTGATTCTGAAAGATGCAATCTACTTCATAATATAACCTCTTGCTGTTAAGCTGTCACATATCTCAAATATTATACAAACAATTAGATTTCTTTGTTTCTAGCCTATGAAGTTACCTCTTGGGTAGTTACGGTAGTTCTGTAAGGGTCCAGCCATGCCCAGATGGGAATGCTAATGTCTTTGGAAATACTAATGGTACTGTCTGGCAGTGAGTATAAGACAAATGTGTTGGGACATATGTAATTGTATCAAACGTAAGTAGTAATATATGCTGCAATTACTTGTGTTTTTAAAGGATTTGGACGTGGCAGAGGTCGAGGGACAGGAAGGTTCTCATCTCAAAGCATGGGGTAAGTGGCTGTCACCCTGCTGTAGTGACAGCCTCCCTGGTTATTGTAGGTGTGCTGCTGCTTTTGTTCATCATTTATCTATCCCAATTAATCACATCTTGCCTGTACTTCAGAGAGTTTACTGACAAATATTACAGATACTATTGACGTTTCAGTAGGCATTAAATCATGGTTTCTAGCCTTAGTCCTTTCAACATTTCTGCTTGGTAATACTTTACTGGATTGGTAGGATGTCCTGTACACTGATGTTTGGCGTCACTCGTCTACTCTCTAGCAGCCACTGTCACCCCTCTTGAAGTTGGAATAATCAAAATGTCTACAGACACTGCCTAATATTCCCAAACAGAGTGAGTTGTGTGTATTTGTGGATAATCACCCTTAGTGGAAAGCCATGGCACAAAAGTTCATAAATCCAACCATTGTGTAGGCAGTGTGTATTTATGTAAAAATGATACTTTTGTCCTGAGTGGTAATAGTGAGGGTGAGCATTCTAAATTGATGCTGTAATTAGTATCCTATCCTGCTTTTTTCTCCTCCCTCCCTCCCTCCCTCTGGCCTTTTGAGACTGTAGCCCCAATTGGCCTCTGCTAGTATTAAAAGCAATGTATCACTGCACCCTCCCTCCCTTCCTCCCTCCCTCCCTCCCCCCCTTCCTTCCTTCCTTCCTTCCTTCCTTCCT